TCACTGGTAAACATGCATAATACTGTATGATAAACACGTTATGTTTCTCGGCGTCGCCCATAAGCACCTGTAGTTCCTTCACTAAATCATTTTGTTAATCCGTTCCCACGACATACCCGTGTGTATCAAACTGTGGTGAAGAGCCCCCTTCAAAATGTAGCCAAACTCGGGCCACATTACTTCCGTGTCGCTAATACCGGACAACCACTCATTTATTTAGTCCTGTGCTCCCTATACTTGCCACCATTTCCCCAATCACTTCCCAATCGGTTCCACGCTATGTTAGCACCCGATATGAATATCTTCTGTCCCTTATAGTAGAATTCCTTTCCCTTCACTTGTAGGTAGGCATCAGACCCACTGAACAGGTATGCCAGCAAATATATGCAAATTATTTCTCTAAACATTATTATTTATTAATTATAATAATGATTATTTTATTTTTTATTTTATTAATTACAATTTAGTTTATATATAAAATTTCATTTCAGAATATGTTTGAAATCACATGAGTATATCATCTAACAAGATTAATGTGCAATGGAATTGTTTGATAATTAAATCCAGGTAAAAAGTATAGAATTTAAACTTCTTTGATTTTGTAAATTTAATTATTAATTCTATAATTTTAGTTCTTGCACAATTAAATCCCAAATTAAATTTCAAACTAAACTGATATATCAGTTAAATTTTAAAATTAATTCCTTAAAATATACACTTTCATGTCACTTTAAAATATAACTATATTTCCAAACTATAAATCAAGTAATTTAACTTTATTTAAGATAGAGTTTTATTTATTTTATTCAAATAATTTTTTTAACTTATTTACAATGCTTAAATTTTTAGATCTTAATAGCGATGACACCATTACTGGTCTCATGTCTTATACTTTCGATCCCATGATTGATGACATCCCGAGTGTCTCTATCATTGTCTTGATGGTCATTGTACTGCCACGCCATACATCCGTTATAACCACTGAAGTAGTAGTGTTTGTATACTTCAGCCGAGTCTGAGACACACGACCTCTTAGTGGAGAACTCGCCGACCATTAGGGGTTTGTCGAGACCGTACTGTTGGGCCGACCTCTTGATGGGGTGTTCCTGTCCGCACTCATATGAATGGATTTGATAGAAATCCA